GGGGTTTCACCATGTTGACCAGGATGGTCTCGATCTCTTGACCTCGTGATCCACCCGCCTTGGCCTCCCAAAGTGCTGGGATTACAGGCTTGAGCCACCGCGCCCGGCCATTATATTGTAACTTTTTCTTTCCCCCTTCACCTATTTGCTTCCTCTTCTTCCCAGACTCCAGAACTCTACCTTTTCTTCAGTCTACAAGTAAGGGTGTTCCTTTTTTTTTGAGTTGGGAGGGGCAGGAGGAAAGGATTCAAGGGTATCCCTTGTTATCCCAACCTACTATCCAATCTCAGGACCAAACAGATACGAGTAACAGGAGTACTTCCATTACTCAACACCTAAGGTGGGGAACAAGATACATACAACCCTGATCTTACTGAGCTTACTATCCACGGGGAAAGTGATTAAATAAGTTATGAATGGTGCAACAAATGCCATAAAGAAATGGAGAGGGACAGAAGAACAAAGAGAAAGTAAAAGAGTAGAAATCCCAGGCATCTCAATTGTGTGACGGCCACTATAATGTGGTGGTAGGTTTCCAGTGTGGTAAATTTCTTTCATACTTTCCCTCATCTACGACCCCAACCTCTGACACCTCAGATGGTACAGAATATTGCTTAGAAGTTAACTATTTTAATATTATCAATTCATGTCTTTTTTTTTTTTTGAAGTAACATTCACATGTGAATAGTTTAGGAATCCATATGTGAGACAAAATAACAAACAAAAAAAGCCATATTTACTCATTTCTGCTTACCAACACAATCTCACAAAATTCTTGACTCTATGATGACACACAGCTTTCCAAACACTTTAAAGACAAAATAAAACACACGCTCCCCCCACATCTCTTGCCTAAGTCACCATATTCCTTATAGATAACCCAATCCTTGCCTTTTCCTACAAAGAAAATTATAGTGATTATACTTCTATAATCTATAATCAAATATATTCTTACACCCAAACCTTAATGTACCAAATGTAATGTAATTTTACATATATGAAACTTTACATATACGAAACCCCACCACCTATACATAAACAGTAGACTAAAATACAGTGCCAGAATAGTCTAAAGAAACCTCTCTATAAGACTACTCCCAGGCTGCAGGCCCTGTCTACAGTTCTCAATAAGACTTCTAAATACAACTAACTTTAACTCTTAAAAAGCTTGATTTTCTTTCATTTACAATCATGGTGACTATGAAAGGACTTAAGAATAGGCTGCCCAGGGTCGTCTGGAGCATTGCAGGGAACTGGAGCCTTGTTATAGCATAGGCCCTTTGAGCCCCTCTGGCTCCACTATGGTTGCAGATGACTGGGTGAGCTTCTGACCTCCCACTTGGTTGACAGTCCTGAATATGAGTCAGCTAGTTGCTTTCACCACTTGACAGAAAAGTGAGTTCTTCCTTGAAACTTTTATTTTCCCTTTTTTAAATAAAAATGGGGTCTCACTATGTTGGCCAGGCTGGTCCTGAACTCCTGGCCTCAATTGATCTGCCCACCTCAGCCCCTCAAAGTGCTGGGATGACAAGCATGAGCCACCGTGCCCAGCCAAGACTTTCTGTTTTTTAAAAAGGG